ACTCTATAATAATCTTTCTTGCATATCAGACTGGCGTTTCCGTTAGTTTTACCCATGCCGGAAATGTCATCTGGCATGGGGGGTTCCAGATGAGTCGCGTGCTGTACAATGGCACGATAAAGATGACGTCATTTTACCGTTATGAATAATTTTGTAATTCATACGCTGTTGAATGAAAGTAGTTACGGTTGTAATGATATAAATTTTCATTGAAAATAAAGATGAAGAATTAAAAATATAATGGAATATGGTAGAATATGCAAGAAAAAATATCTGACATATGTTTGCGGTTCGGATCGGAATATCCGTCCCTCGGTCACCCGCCCATGGGCGGTAACTCGGCAAGCCTCGTTACCGCCCAATGGGCGGGTCACCTCGGGACGGATATTCCGATCCGAACCGCAAAATATGACAGATATTATTAATCTTTCAAGTTTGCATTCAGGTTATCTTAAAGACAAACAGCTCGACGAAATATATGCATGTCGGACTGTTTTGGCGAGAAGATTTTTGCTAAATCATTTACTTAGAGTTAAACAACAGGTTTATCGTGAACAAAAATCATCAAAATTAATAAGGATTACAAACCCGAAATAAATATTCTAAATTTAGAATTTATTGAATTTATTGAAGCTCTCTTCGTATAACTTCCCCGTGATTCAGGGGTAACGCACTCGTTTATGGTGTGAGAGGTCTGGGATTCAAACCCCAGTCGAGACAACTATTTTTTTTTTTGTAAGTGTATTTTTTAAGGAAGAAGCCATGATATGCAAGGATAAAGTGTGGCTGTCATAAAAAATAAACATACATGATTTTTGATACAACTCTAGTCATGCAGAATTCCGTTTGTATCAAACTCTAACTGTTATAGTAAAAAAGATAAATACAGTCGCTGCATCTCGGTGCCCTTTAAGATAAATTATAGTATATAAAAATAAACTTATACAGGAAAATACATACAGTACGTTTTAATTGGCAAAGATCAGAAAATACCACCGATTGATTTAATTAACTCAATGCAGTGCACTATGTTATAAATACTCCACTCTTTATTATATTAATGAAAACACATGAGCAAGGTAAGGATTATCTATCTTGATCAAATGATCAACTTTTCTTATATATTGAGCAATTGACAATGAGATATATATGTTATGTACTTCTAATTCGATAATTGTATGTTTAATTTTTACTTAAAGCTGTATATGCATGCTCGGCCTGGTCTGCATGTACTGTAGCATGTGGAGGTGGAACACAAACAAGAACTTGCACAAACTTGGGGATTATCTACATCTTCCAATCAAAGTTGTAACACTTATTGCTTTAACCGAGGGATTTACGTAAATGGAGGATGCCAATGCTCTGCCTGGAGAAGTGGATAGTGTTGTTCAGGTACTGACCTACTATAATAACTTTACATTAGCTTACATAATAATATTATGTATATCTACTTTACTAAATTATTGCGTTTCAGTTAAAAAGAACAAGAGGAGATATATTTTTGGTTGGTTGGTTGGTTGTTGGTTGGTTGGTTTACAAATGATAAGAGAGAAGATTAGATGTTTATAAAGAAAAGCCTGTATGATATAAATATTTTCACACTTTAACATTAAATTGTTTTGGATAAAGGTGTTGTGAAGTGTATCCCTGATATTTTACAACAACATCGACTCACATTATCACACAAGTACGTCTATTTATGCTGTTCCAACTGACAATTGATAAACTCTGCTAAATTTCAATAGACAATAGGCTAAATATACAGTTTCCTTTTCTTCAGTATAGATTACAAATTGTCTGTTTTGTATTTTAAATTTGAGAAGAACGATGAAAAAACATTACAAATGTCAAACAAAATTTACCGTTATAATGGAACATAAACTGTACTTGTCTACTTGAAGCAGTTAGCATACCAAACAATAGATCAGATTGCGTGTTGGAGAAGACAAACTCTTATATTCTACGGATTAGCGGTTTCATCACACAAGGATATATGCACCGGAGTTCATGTCAGACCAGTTAGACATTAATTTACCGGAAATATGTGTCCAGAGAATTCATCGCCGGGGTTCAATGAGTAGAGCACGTGCACTTACACAGACACCTTAAAAACCAGCTATCATTGCTTTCCGCGATTATCGAGACAGTGTGTATATCATGGATAATATCCAAAACTTAAACGGCACGGGATTCGGAATTTATTGAGACAATCCGGAAGAAATATCAGTCAGTCCATGTTAATAATAAACCAGGTTTAACAACAAGAATTAGCCATCAACAATTTGGAGATGCGACACTGAACAAAACTATAAATTATGTGAGGCAGGACAATGGAAGCATTCATATAGATCAGGCATTCTCTAGTGTCAGGGAAGGCGACTCGTAAGTAATCTTGCAACGTAGCTCACAATCCAGCTGTTTACAATACATACATGTACAGACAAATTTTGATAATAATGTCTGAAATTCAAGTACTAAATTTTGATGCAAACATGTATAAATTTATCTTCTACATTTCTTTACTTTTAATTGTTCTAAAAAGATATACTGTCACCTATTTAAACGTCTGATATCGGCTTGTACACTTATTCATTAGCACTTACTTTATTATCCCCATTATCAATGCTTCCGAGGGATGACTTTGTCTCCAGATTTTTGTACTGCACAACAGCAGGTGTCAAGTGCTTTGTGGCAGCAGTTAAAGGAGCACGCCCCCAGATTTATGCTAATTTTCATGAAAATTTTGAAAATGTGTTTAAAAGTATTATTTAGTGAAATAACCAAAAGGAAGCAATTTACACATTATCAATGGCACTTATCACCCACGTAAATTACGAAAAAGAGGAAACAATCTGCAAAAATAGCCCTTACCGCGTTAGTAACGCAGTAGAAATATAGTTACAAATACTAAATAATCAGCCATTAATGGCACATAACATGTAAATTATTACTTAAATCTTGAATATTTTTACTTTTCCTAAAATTTTCTCAGGTTTGATTATATTGAAATAGTTTCGCTTATCTGGAAGCATGTAGCTTTAAAAGTTGCCCCGAACTTTACTTCAGTGTTGTTATATTTTTCTGGTCCATCTGGATCATTAATGCACTGTTAAGTGCTGAGTATTGATTTATTTTAATATAAAGTCCTGCGTGTGATTATCACGGCACTACCCATAACAGTGTCTTTATAACGCCGCTGCATAATAATCACACGCGTGGTTTCGCGTAATTATTACACGTTCTTAACCAGAACAGAACCACTTTATGAATTATTATATCTATTGAATTCATGTAAAATTGAAATTGTCATATTTGTGTTAACGTTGCTTGAATTATCATATACCGCTCAAGCCGGTGCTAGGGGACGTGTGGGATGTTGCATTTATTCATTATCCCTCATATTCATACTCAATAAAAACGAGTCTGCAATTTTCATGTAATTTTGCTGTGATTAATGTTTTCGTGGGATCACATTGTTTCCAGATTTTTGATAAGGCTGTTCGTTTAATTTTGTAGACTTTGTATTGAGTTTGAGGCTTTCGGAGGAGGGTATTTAGAGAGTGTAAATCTCATAACCCTAAAGGTGAATCCGTATGTCCAGTACCAAAAAGTCAGTATTAAACGCACTTTATGTTACACGTTCGATCAGACCCCCTAGACATTGTAGAGATACTGGATCTTGCAATACAGAACCTTTACATATCCTTCATCCTGTAACATGGTCTCCGATTAACCGGGTGTCAATTGCTGGATGGATTGATCCAATTCCTTTAAATGGATCAGCAAAGTATGCCTCCACAATACAGGATTATACAATAAGTGTTCATGAGGTAATTTCGAAGAAAGGACGGTTGCAACTTGACTATTCTACAATGTATATGAAAGTAATGAACGCTTCGAACACAGATACTTCTTTGTATCTTAAACCTTATAAACCAACATTGTATGAAGTGAAACAATAGGTTAAAGATCTTGCAGGCAACGTACAAGAAGCAAGAAGGTTCATGCTATATGATGATACTTCATTTATTGAAACAAGAGACGACAAACCAATCATTGTTGAATCAGCATCTTATCTTACAAACTATACATGGCAAACACGTGATGCATTTGTCTGACTTGGAAGGATCATTTCATTAACAGATTCTATACAAATGATTATTTACTCGACCCTATACAGCTAGAGCAAAACAGATTATTTACGGGTGTGTATGAGCACAATTTCGGATTATTATCGGTTCATGGTACTTTAAATGTGAACGGTATAATCAAGTTTTTAGTGACAGTGTTTATTAATGGAAAACAAACTGAAGAAACTGAAGCTACAAATATACAAGAGCAGTCGTTTTGTAAAAATATCAGCTATAATGATGGCGATACTTTCACAATCATGGTACAAGCTGTTGATATTGCTGGTAATACTAAAGAAGGAAACGCAACCGTCTCTGTAGATCAATCTAAACCGGAACTTGAACTAATGAATATACCTAACGATTCTGGCATATTTGAAGCGATAGAAGTGCCTTCGTCTTTGCATTATATCAAATTCAAAGCATTAGATCGTCATAGTGGAATTCACAGTATTGTTTGGGTATTTGGAATAACAAATTCTAGCTTAAACATAGCAACAGGTGATACAAATGTTCATACCGATAATAACTTACAGGTAGGGTGTTTGTTTTTTTCTTCTTTTTTGATGTACGTCTCATCTTTGCCATTTTATTCCTATTTATTTCATTTCTTGTTTTTAATTTAATGTGGTATTTCGATTTTTATACATTTGATGTGTAAAATAACATAATATAATAAGTTATGTTACATATAAAAGATGATATTTGTTCTACTGATAATTAGACTAGAGTTTAAATACAAGAATGTCATATTGAAATTATACATTTCCTTCAACACAAGTTCTGGTTGATATTCTACATACCTACTTTTACTCCCACCTACAATGACCTAATTCATACTGATATATACAGTGTTTTATTTTAATGCAGTCTTGCCATAATGGTACGTCAACGTGCGACTGTTTCGATGGTAAACAATGTGAATCATTTAGCTACACCATACCAGTAAATGCATTAAATTTGTGTGACAAAAAAGTGAAAGATAATTCAAATAAAAACTTCTACATTTCAATCACCGCTACAAACTTCGCATTGTTGGAAAAGACTCGGTACATTGATGTTTCCATTGATTTTACCAGTCTAGATGAGTTATGCAAAACAACAAATTGTAAGTAGATTAACCTCTTTTCTTTCAAATAATCCATGACTATCAAAATTTTAGTTACATTTTAACTGTGGATTTTCCGTATTTCCAAATGATATTCAGATATAAAAACCTTATAGAGAAATGGCCCATATATCGAAGAAGAACTACCATAATTTCTTTGATGAAACATTTTATATCAGCATCTTAGTTTATATCATATGTTCCTATTTTATAAATATGTTGTATTTTACAGATGTGCCCATCTATGTTGGTGTATCAAGTGGCATTTCAATAATTATACTGGCCAGTATTATGGCTTTTGTCATTCTAGTGGTACGACGTAAAAGGCGAAAGAATAAACAAGGTATTGAAATGTTCTGATTGCATATAAAATGTAGTAGTTATATTCAGCTCTTAAATTATCAAAAAGGCAATTTCTTGTAATGCATCCGGTTTTTATAACAGATAAAGACTATAGTATTTAAATTTTATTTAGATGTGCATGCATAGTATTCAATTTAAGAAAAGTCATTATTAAAAACGATGAGCAAAGAATATCCAAAAGCGAGCTATCATATGTTTCATGATTTTCACCCAACTTACATTAAAGTGGCTGTCAATCACAGCGGTCCTTGCATGGAAATACTAACATTCACGAAATAACTGTACTTAAAAGGAAAATCATTTTGCATTGGTTGCCTGAAACAAAAATATAATTTTATATTCAACATAAGTTTTATAATCATTAAATAGTCATTCATTGATACAATTTTAACTTCAGGATCGGCCGAAAATAACGGATACATTTTGTAAGTAGAGTTTAATCGTAATTTTTATATCATTTTTATGCTTATGAAATAGACCAAAAAAGAAAATCATTTAAATAAGACGCCTCCAAAGCAAAAAACCTACAATTAAAGGCAGATGCATTATAATTAATGTTTAAAGTAAAAAAATGTAAAAACATTGGTGTTTCTCCCCTGGTGTACATATCATGATGATTAATGCTATTTTATATTTATACGTCTGCAGGGAATCCAAGAAAGTTCCAAAGAAAAAATCCAAAATTAAAACAACACAAGGTATGTGGCATGTTGTTTCAATAATAAAAACCTTTCTTCTTCATTTAAAACAGGGTCTTTGTAGTGATACCAAACGGTTTATTATTTTGTTTTATTATGTTTGCTTCCAAAGAAACCTTTGTGAATCAATTTTTATTTGTTATTGATTCACAATAGAATAATTGTATCAAATGTTGTGATAAAAAGTCACCTAAAACTTTATATTGTTGGTGCTTATTTGTTAATTATTATTCTTGGAAATATTAGATCATTTATCCTATTTCATAAACAGACACATTTAAAATCGTTTATCATTGTATTCAATGAGTTTTAAAAGTTTGAAAAGATCTACGAATATATTCAGACCTTGACTTGCTTTTTGAATTTCAACAATAATGTCGATATCTAAAACTTTCTTTGTTTTAATATTGGTCTACAGATATAATATGTTACATGTTCTCTTATTGTGCTGCAGACAGATTGTGATATAAGGAAGTTAAAGTTTATTGATGATTGCAAATATGTAATGATAGTGATATCGCAGTGATATTGGGTGGAAGATATGTGGGATATTTGGGTTGAAGATATACATATATAGTGATATTGGCGGGCAGACGTGGAGAGATATTTAGTGCAGACATGTTGTAATAATGCAGTAAATTGTGCAGATGTATGTTATATTGGGAAACAGATGTTTGTAATATTGAGTAACAGATAAAAAGTGTTGCAGATATGTAGCTATATAAGGGAGCAGATATAGCAGTGATATTAGGCTATGTGACTATGTCATTCTGAAAATACATTTTTATGTACACTCCATGGAATAAAATTGCTTCTTCCATACGAGCATACGAAAATCTTCTATATATCCTCTCTGTATAGTTTTATGTTCAAGAACGGCTTGTATGCAGGGGCATTCAGTTAGTTGGTAATTGCTCATATTCGATAAAAATTGAAAGAAAAGTATGCAATATGTTTATAATAACGGTATGACATTAATTGGAGCTTAAACGAAATGAGATACACCTAACAATTTACGATTTTATTTCCAGAAACAAAGGTCACGAAGCAAGCAGATCTGTAAGTTTTTATCATACTTTTCGAATACTAGTAATGTTAATGAATGATATTTCAGAATACCTTTGAATGATGTTAGACTCATAATGTACGAAGGTGGGTCAATATATAAAAATATATATATTAAGTATATTCCACTTATTCAGCTTGTGATTCTTATGTTTGTGTAAACTATGCTATATGTTTCAAATAGTCTACTTTCAAATGAAACAAAAATCATGTGTGTAGTCAAACAATTAAGAATTAAATAAAAACCAAATTTTATATTGAAAATATTACAAATTGCTACACTGCCTCCTTGTAAATGTAAAATCAACATGTTTTGACTTCGCACAAAGTAAACATGTTGTGTTTTAAACTCTACACACTATAAGAGGCCACAATAATTATAAACATAAAGTGTCGTAAAAATCTGGCATTTTTCAAAGAAAGGACCAACTTAACTTGTCCTGTAATAGGGCATGCATCTTCCAATACATAGTTTTACATTGTTTAATTCCAACTGGACATATTCAGTAAGACTGCCGTAGATTTCAATAAATTTCTTCAAAAAAAATATTTTACTGAAAGATGAGCATAGTTAATCGTTTAAAGTCCTTTAAACAAGTAGCTACATATAAAGTATGGCAGGTATATGCTTAGTTAGAATTGCTGAAATACGGGCTTTCATAAACGCTCATGCAAAACTATCTAAATCTGCTATAAATATTTAGAATGATATTTGGACCATTTATGGAAATAATGAAGTAAATTATGAAACTGTTTATTGGTGGATGCATCAATTCAAAAATTGGTGTGTAAGCCTGGGAGAAAACGCTCCATATATACTGACAAAAACATTCATACAGTCAAGGGTATCATTAACAAAGATGCCAGACTTTCTCTTGCCTAGATAATCCTTTTCGTAGACATATCAAAAGAGTCAACCAATACGATTCGCAAAAATCCCTTGAAAGTCAGGCAAATTATTGAAAGGTATACCTAAGGACAACAATGCTGAAGAATTTAAAATTTGATTTAATGTTTGAAACTTTGTATTCAGTATTCCTGTAGAAGATTTTTACGAAGGGTTAGAAAAGAAAAATGTAAGATATTTCATATTCTATTAAATTTATTGACCATATTGCATTCCGTATCGATCCACTCTCGTACGTACATTATACTTTTCTATTTTAATGTAAAATGAAACATTTGGCAAATTCCACACGAATTCAAAATTATGCATCACTTATTGTCATTAAACTGTTTGTTGCTATAGGTGTATTTGGTAGGGGCCCCGATTGTTTTAATGTATTTGCATTTTTAACTCATTGTAGAGAGAATTATCAAAACCTTGATCACAACGATGTATGTGCTGACGAATCATATGACAATATAGCCAGTAAGTTATTTATCTGAAAAATGTTTTCAGCTTTTTTGTTATTGAAATTATTTAAACAATAATAAGCCATATTACTGTTTCTATGTTTATGATGTAAAAACAATTTCTTCTTTTTATTTACACTTTTATAACTCAAAAAGTAAATGATAAGTTTACATGACGTACAATGTAAACAGACATTTCACGTTTTAATTTTTTATTATATCCAGATATGAACTTAATCTAATATTGCCATATTGATATTTAAGCGCACCCAGAGGACGCAAAAACTAGAAGGTAATCATTCTTAGTGTTACCTATTATAACATGTTAACTGTTGTTCTAAAAAGTCATGGTCACGGCACCTAAAGCATATGAGTATCAATATCTATTGTTTGTTATGTCATAATCTGCTAGCTGTAATGAGTATTCATCCTTTGCAAAAAACCACAGTATTCAATTGCAGTTATAATTTACGTGAATAGATAGTAATGAATAGATAGTGTCACATGGTTTTCAGTAGTACTTGCCGTATATACAAATTAAGATTGGTAACATTTATTAAGAGTGACTTAAATGCACCATTTGCATTAACAACAGCATCGCAAAGGCGGGACAATATACACCCGTGTGCAAATCTGTTTGAGGAATCAATAGTTATATTTCAATTATGGATTATGAAAGAAAACTGTTTTTAATCTGAATTCTTCTAATGATAATAAAAATCTGGAAGAAGAGTGATCCTCGAAAGCATAAGTCACAACTAAATTGCGCTCGGTTTGATTGTGTCTGGACATGAGGAATAATGAAGAAGTGCAATATACCTCATATATTAAAAAGATACAGAGCGGACACGCTATTAAACAGAAGGACGAACACCATAGTTATAAACGATGTCTTCGTTCAAAATTGCAATACCATACCTTGTAGTCATAATGAAATTGTAAGATCATTACATCATGACAAATCGTTTGCTAAGAATTCACCCTTACAGTTGATATTTTGTATTGTTAGGAACACAGACCAAAAACCACAGCGAACAGAAAATAATGTTTATGAGGACATTGCCCGTAAGGAATTAATAATTTTATATATGTTTCCGTTACCATCAATATTCATTATTGCATAGAATTAATTATCCCAGTCGAGTCTATCGTATGTAAATAGCCAAACAGTGTCAAGTAACTTAACAATTACTAAAATTGTCAAATTTTTATCTTTATATAAATAAGATTGCTAAGAAATTTACAAGAACTTAAATGGTATATTTTTGTAATGTACTATCGTAAGATAGTATTCGAATTTGGATAAGAAATGATATTGGGGTGCATATATATATATATATATATATATATATATATATATATATATATATATATATATATATATATATATATATATGATAAGATAGCTAGTTAGTTGTTTAAAAAAACATATTTAGCATTACCTGTAATAATATTTAAGTCATAAATAAGCTGTAACATGCAAGGCTTGCTATCATTTTCAAAGGTCATGCCAGACCATGAAATCTTTTCTATGATTACAAACAAATAAGTATGTATCCATGTATACAAGTGTTATTTCAGGTATTCAATATTTTTAAATATTTGAACTGTAAGTACATTTATGTAATGATAAATTTATGTACAATATTAATGTACTTGTCACTTTCGTTTTTTCAATATTCATTATCATCATTATTTTTGTATATATGATTTTAACATTGATAATTCAGCACAAGTGGCTAAAGAAAACGACAAAACTGAAAGGTAACCATTCTGATTTTTGACCTGGGGCTATTGTTTTTTGGGTTTTTTTTTGTTACTTTGTTTTCCTGAACAGAGGAGTTAATATTTTGTTTGGTTAATGATAAAGTGGCCCATAACTTAATTAAGTTCACCATATTAATAAAGAATAGCCAAGTATATTTGTACTAACAAGTCATAAAAAAGAAAATAATCATAGAAAACGAATTCAACCACGTACATATAAACATATAGTGACATTATGTTCATTTTTTTACTGGCAAGTAGAGTTAACTTTTTTCTTTGGGTCCTGCTGGGCTTCTTGCCGGTGGTCCAGTGTTACTGGGTCGTGTTTGGGGGTTGCGTTAATTGAACGCCGCCCTTCCTTGTTGATCTTGTTTTTTCATATATTTTGGTATTTTTTATGGCGATTGACCAATTATTGATAATTGAAAATGTGTATGATACAATATAAAAACAGTCGAAATTATATATAAAAAAGACTGCCCCACTCTTTTTAAGAATTGAACGTTACTGATACATCCTGCATGATTTTTATAAAACATTCTATTGGTAACGTTGATTATTGAATAGTTTTTCATAGTAAAATATAAAATTGAACTCAATTTTGGCAAAATATCGATTTTTATTTTTTACCTGTTCACTGACCATTTACACCTGGATAGGCAAAATGTCACTTTAACGTTTTAAAGATTAACTGCAGTACAACATTTGTAACAAAAATGTCAATCAGTAGGATGATTACTTTAGACTGTACCTTGAAGTCAAAATAAAATTTTGTATTAATATCCATTGTACAGCATCATTCTAATGTTGCGGACTGGTGAGTCAACTGACAATTTACTTTTCAGGAGTACAGACCAAAGTCTAAAGCGAGCAGAAAGTAATATTTATGAGGATATTGCCCGTAAGAAATTTATTCTTCGTAATATCACAAACTGATATGATTACATGTACATGTTTCTTCCTTATGAAACAGACGCGCGAAATATCCAATAGAAGCTTAATCCTGAAGGAAGATATCACGGACTTGTTATATAAATCCGTGAGGATATCAAAAACGTCAATATACCCTTGTTAAAAGAATTTAGACGTTTTACATTCAATATGAGGTAACTGGTCAAACAGTTGGAAAGTATACTTAAGTCATCATATGACAAGTTTCAGTATTCAGTACTATAATATGTATTCGTCCGCGAAAACAATGAACATGAGTTTGAGATAATTATCAGTTACATTTTAGAAGCCTCCTTTATTAAAACATCGTTTTATCATATGCAGAAAATAACGTGAAAAGACCATCTCAAGAAAGAGACGTTGGAAAACGACCACCTCCAGAAACCGACATGAAAAGACCACATCGAGAAAATGACGTAAAAATACCACCTCTAGAAATCGTCGTCAAAATACCACCTCCAGAAAACGTCTTTAAAGGACCAACACCAGGTAACGACGTTAAAAGAACACCACCGATCCCGCCAAGATGCGCAGTGAAACAATCAAATGATCGCGAAGCTCCTGTACATGAAACTCACATTTACGAGAACTTGAAAATTTAAGTTTTATATCACAATGAAAGAATTACAGTTTCTAACAGAATACCCATTCATGTACTTGAATAATACACTGAAGTGACGTTTGTTTATTTCTTTTTTGTCGAAAAATAGGTCGAATGTTTTGTCAATGATATAATTTCGTCATATGTCAAGAGAGGTCAAAACCGTTATTTTCATTTTTGTTTCTTTCATTGCTTCCTTGAATCTACCATTTGCATGCTTTGTGCAAGACATAAAGACTTTTTTTCTTATTTGAATAAGGCTTCTGGTCTGGTCGGGACTACCATTCCTGACCTGTACAATAAATTTGTTAAGTACCAATGTGCTCGTTTATTGTTAATTTCCAAGGTTTAAAATAACACAGAAAGCTTTTTATCAGTAAAGTAACTGTTTATTCGTATGAATATAATATGCAAGTTTGGCTGCTTAATAAACTGTTTAAATAGTCTGTTTTGAAATAACAACATTCATACAGTGAACAAACAAGCTACAAATTATCAATTCAAACAGGCCAAAAAAATCCTATTTTGACCATCTTTAAATCACGCTTTCCAGAATTGTAGTATGTGTATATACTTAACTTGATCTTTAGCCCAAAAAAATTAGTAGTATTACATAAACGTTGTACAACTAAGGTTTTATCATAGCATAATAAAAAAAGTTTGTTTACTTTAAATATTGTGCACTGTGTTAGAATATTGCTTTATTGTTGCTTCATAGTTTGACATGTTTTGTCAGTCAATGTATATAGTTATATTATAATAGTTCTTGATGGCTCGCATCTAAGATAACTTCTGAGCCAGAAAAATAAAGATGGCCCAGAGCAGATGATATTTGATAAAATTCTATTTCATTTTAAGACATATAGTAAGTTGAATAAAGTACACATCTGAAAGTAGAAGACATGAACAGTTTGTGAAGCATGTGTTAAATTAAGAAATTGAAAATTTAACTGCCAAACTTCATGTGACTTTAAATGTGGACAACATCATCGACCATTAAAAGATTCATTTAGTTGAGCCTATAAATATAAGTAGATTTAATCATTTTCTTCTCGTGTTTAAAACAAGCATTTTATGATACATTAGAGTGTTTACGTACACATATAATAAAACCCCATAAAATGCTCAACCTAAATTACAGGCAGAATAAAAATATTGTCAATGTCTCAACATTTTATCAGAATAAATCTGTTAAAAACTTCGTGTATTTCTTATTTCAAGTAAATTGCAATTTAAATATTATTCACAGTCTGTTTAAAATATTTTACTGGTTAAAAAAGCATGGAACTTCAGTATATCAGGTATATAAACGTGGGAACGGCATCTCCTCTGTTGGCTGTAACCTTCAATATACAAAAAATAATGTTAGTACATAATATATTAATCATTTTATCTACATTGTGGAACAAATTAATGCTACATTCCTAATACACCACTTCATGGAAGTAACCAGTATTGGTATGATGAAAAATATGGTCGTGAACCAAGTAATAATTAGATCAAACCTATTATTCCTTGAGAGGCAGAAAAAAACTCATCCAGTTGTTTTCTAAGTAAGTATCTTTCCCTTTGCCCCTAGTTTTTATTTAACCCCCCCCCCTTCCCCGGGTCTCCTGTCCCCTTCCCCTGTGCCCTTTGACTTTATGGGCCTATTAATCAATCATTTATTTGTTTTCTTTGAGTTCCTTATCAGTTACTAATTATTTCTTCTTATGTATGTTTTTAGTGATTAACCTGCCCATGCTCTTCCTTGTGCCCTGTCCTGTTTTTGTTTGGGGTCCTCCTGGGCTCCTTGCCACTGGCTCTTGTCGCTAGATCGTGTGGGGCTGCGTTGATTGAACGCCGCCTTACCTTGTTGATCTTGTTTATCATATTTTGTTAAATAACCAATTATTTTATAACGATAACAATTAACCCATTACGCGATATACATGCTTTTTAACGCCTTTTTTACCCACCCCCCTTTTCAGAGTCTCAAATGGTGAAAAAATGCCTTATTTAGGCCCCCAACACTTGTTTTTGTTTGAGAAATGTTGTTTAAAAAAGTGACCACTTTTTCGGCGCAGCCCCACAAGCAAAAGTTTCATCAGGGGGTTGCCAGAAGGGGGATGTGCCGCCTTCTGTTTAGGGTGTTTGAAGGGGGGCGGCAGTCCCCCTCATCGTCAAGAACATTTTTGACTTTGGAGGCTAAAAATGGCCCCAGGTCGATCATAAGGTAACATGTAACCAATGCTGAAAAGCCTTTGACTCTATCTCAATCCATTGAGAAGTTGCAGCACTTTGAAATCAATTTTGATGGAAAAAATCAACGCAAAATAGTGATTTTTGGCAATTTTGAGATGTCCCCTCGTTGCCATGGTAACATGAAATTTAAGCCTGAGCATGTTGTTGCAAAGGCAATGGTCCAGTTAACACTTGTGCCAAGTTTGATTAGTATTGAAACAGTTTGGTTTTTTTTAGCAATTCAAACTTGTACCAGGAGACTTTACAATGAAAACATCCATTTTTCACAAAATGCTCATAAAGTAATGGGTTAAATATTCAAATTAAATTCATCATGCAAAATATTCACAATTAGATATATTGTGAATTGGGGCACAGGCATTCCTGCAGCGTGCCAAACCTAGAATGGATGGTGATATGTCTATTGACCCGTGCTTAATTTTAGAAGTTAAAGAGTCAAAAGAGCCCGTATTTATAGTAATAGGGTAATTGTGTATTTGATAAGTAAATATTTGGCATAAAACATAAAGTAACATATGGATTGTCAATATTAACAATTATTTTAAAGAATAGATGACATTCATTTTGTTTTCTTTAATTTTATTAATGAATATATTGATTAAAAGGCATGAAGCATTGAAAATTGACCAAAAAAAATCAAAAAAATCCTGACACCAATTGTTTATCATTACATTCATTTAAGCTAAACATTTGAGACACATTTGTCATTTAGCCTGCTTAATTATCAATGACTCGAGCACAAAAGATAACAAACAAAAGCAATATTTACCAATTATCTTTACTATATTCAGTCCCTTGTTGATCATACATATGAAAGGTGTAGATATGACGCGAGTTCTGTGACAGGTTCTTCTCACTCTTATGTACAACTTCACCATGTATCAAAACTAGTGTACCTAAAGTCAATTAAGTAGCCCAAGTTACTTTAAAACAACATGTCATAACCCAAATTCAACAAAACAAACCAGAACTTTTACCATATAAAAAAATCTGGAAAAAGGGTTATCCCTCGAAAGCATTAATCACAACAAAATAACATGAAAATTGCAGACAACATTAAATTAACCTAATGAAATATGTACATTACTTAAATGGTTTTGTCATTTTGTTAACTAATCAAGGTCCCATAAGGCTGATTTTCAACAATCAAATCAACTTTTTTTAAGGTAAAATGGTGACACTGAATGTGATATGCAGGTAAATTGAATGTAATAGATTACTATGACCACCAATCTTCTGTAAGATAGCTCGACTTATTTTGCAAATAAAAATCCAGTATCTCTTAATGTATTCCAATCAAAAATCGTGTAATGAAAGTCAACTGACAAAGACAATCAAAATAAGTAAATTATGTATACCCTTTTTAACAGGACCAGCAATGAATTTTTCTGGATCGCATTTTTGCGATTCACCAGTGAATATAGTTTGTGATGCACCTTCAGTTTTATCAGGATTTCTCACCATTCTCCACTCACCAAGGATACCATCTGCAGCGAAGCAAATGGTATACAACTTATAACAATAACAAACTTAGTAATGTTTACACACTTAACTATCACACTTTATGTTCACAAAATTATCTATCATAATTTATGTACACAAAATCATCTATTACACTTTATGTTCACAAAATCATCTGTTACACTTCATTTAATGAATTGTTATGTCCAGATTTAAAGATAGACAAGTCCATTTAAGGATTTTAAGCAAGGTAAGGATTAAAGTAACTTACGTTTATGAGAGCCTGGAATAAACCAGAGACAACCATTCTCAAGTGTGGCGTCTTCTAAAGCTAACCATAAACCTACAAGCTTTTGTGGTTTGGTATATAAGAATGTCGAGTCTTGGTGTGGAATTACTGAAACAAGACAAGATACACTCATGTAACACAAATACCCCAACCTCATGAAGTTTCTAACCAACAGTTGGCTCAATAAGTAGAGCGTTAGACTGTAAATCAGGCAATCAAGGGTCGATTCCTGCATGCATGTCACTTTCGTTGTGATTGATCATGGAGTCCTTTCTACTGTCATTTGCACTGTACCTTGGCTCTGGTATGTACAAAAGGTATCAGTTCCTAGCTAAAGTAAAAGGAACTAGTACTGAGAAACTGCTTGACAGCCTGCCCAGAATGGTGTGGTGGCTGAACTGTATTCTGGTACATTCAATATGGCTTACTGCCATAATCCGGAGTGTAAACTACCAACAACAAGTTTCATAGTAAAAAAAACATAGTAATATGACATAAATTTTGACAATCTTGCCTTAAAACTTGAGGTCATATAGGAGATCAAGGTCATATTATGATATGTAAAGTACAACTTTCTTTACACCTAATAATGAAGGCTTATGCTTATTCAGTGAATATGTCAAGGCAACAATAAGACTTCAGATCTACCCACTGGTAAACAAGGGTGCCATAGTCACAAAATACGCCCGTTTACGAAAGCTTTAGATGGAGATGGGGGCATTATGGATAAGTGTTATCTAGCAAGCAAGTTTTTATTCTTGGCACTGTGTTGTTAAATGAACCTTAAAACAAATCAGTAGGGAAGATATGCACAGGATGTGTGACCTTGGTCGCAGGGACCTGAATTTTATGCACGGCACTCAGCCTCACAAAGATGAACATTTGTGCCAAATTATATTGAAATCCCTCTATGCATGTAGAAGTTTTGCTCCAGACAAGCGTTTTTCTATGAGCTCCAACTGTGACCGTCACCTTTGACCTAGAGACTTGGTTCATGTGCAGGGCACTATGTCTCATGGTGGTGAACAATTCTATAAAGTAACATTAAAATTCCTCCATGCATGTAGAAAATATGCTCCGGACAACATCTGGATATTTAATTATCTCCAGTGACCTTGACCTTGCAAATATTAACCTAAATTAAATGTGTCACACCTGTAGTCATGATAGTTACCATTTGTGCTACAATCCATCAATAAATGATGACTAAATGGTCCCTATACACATCTTCAAATTTTTATCTGAACTTTGACCTCTATGTGTATCCTTGACTTTGGTCGCAGGGATCTGAATTTTGCGTGCGACACTCAGCCTCACAATGGTGAACATTTGTGCCAAGTTATATTGAAATCCCCTTATGAATGTAGAAGTTTTGCTCCGGACAAGCGTTTTTCAATGAGCTCTAAGTGTGACCTTGACCTTTGACCTGGAGACCTGGATCATGCATGGAGCAATACATATCATGGTGGTGAACATTTCCATAAAGTATTATAAAAATTCTTCCATACATGTAGGAGATATGCTCCAGACAAAATCTGGATATTTCACCATCTTTAGTGACCTTGACTTTGCATATATTGACCTAAAGTACATGTGTCACAGCCGTTGTCATGATAATGACCATTTGTGTTACAATCCCTCAATAAATGATGATTAAATCGTCCCTATACACATCTTCATATTTTTATCTAAACTTTGACCTCTATGTGTGACCTTGACCTTGGCTGCAGGGACCTGAATTTTGTGCGCGACACTCAGCCTCACAATGGTGAACATTTGTGCCAAGTTATATTGAAATCCCTCTATGCATGTGGGAGTTTTGCTCCGGACAAGCATTTTCAATGAGCTCTAAGTGTGACCTTGACCTTTGACCTGGAGACCTAGTTCATGTGCCTGACATGGCTTCTCATAATGGTGAACATTTCTATGAAACTTCATTAAAATCCCTCCATGCGTGTAGGAGATATGCTCCGGAAAAAATCTGGATATTTCATCATCTTTAGTGACCTTGACCTTGTATATATTGACCTAAATTATATGTATCACAGCCATAGTCTTGATAATGACCATTTGTGTTACAATCCCTCAATAAATGATGACTAAATGGTCCATATACACATCTTCATATTTTTATCTGAACTTTGACCTCTATGTGTGACCTTGACCTTGGCCGCAAGGACCTGAATCTTGCGCGCGACACTCCACCTCACAATGGTGAACATTTGTGCCAAGTAATATTGAAATCCCTCTATACATGTGGAAGTTTTGCTCCGGACAAGCATTTTTCAATGAGCTCTAAGTGTGACCTTGACCTTTGACCTAGAGACCTGGTTCATGTGCGCGACACTGCTCCTCATAGTGGTGAACATTTCTATGAAGTTTCATTAAAATCTCTCCATACATGTAGGAGATATGCTCCGGACAAAATTGGACGCCGCCCGCCTGCCTGCCCGACCGCCCGCCCGCCAGGGGCGTTCCCATAATACGTCCCGTTTTTCAAACGGGCGTATAAAAAGATATTACAATATATATACAAAATGTTATGCATGATAATTTACCAATTTGATATGTAACTAGACAAGGCAAAGTAACGAAATATAAAGTACATATGAAGATGACTGTGACCACATCAAATATGATGCAAACAAGTTTTGATTATAATTTTTATAAAATATAAATAATGTATAGAAATATATGACAAACAAAAACTAGAAAAAGAACTGAAGACATAATGTTTTCAGACCACAAAAATATGTACTGAAATAATACTTTTTGTCTAGGACAAGATAACTCATTCATATAAGTCTTGATTGATAAAAACACATGTTATTTGTTTACCTTCCCCACCAATTCCTGGTTGCTGAAATGAGACAAGAAAAAAACCTGTATTATTTGTTTTATGAAAGCTAAACTAAAAATCATCATGCAGCAAAATGATTCAAATTTATTTTTTCAAAATTTAAATTATTTTTTCAATAGAAATATGTTTGAATTAAAGGTATTACAAGCATCTCAGTTACATTTCAGTTACATGAATGCTGTGTTGGCATAAAATGGCAGACTTGACTCTATTCTTGTGGCATAAGTGTGATATTATCATATCAAGTTTTTTCACTTGAAGGGTAAACACATAGCTAGCAAAGATATACTGGTATCTCTCCATTTTAGAGCAAGATTCTGATTATTTTCATCAAGTAAATGAAAATAATTCTTCATTAATAACCTAATCCAACAAAAGAAAACAGCATAGCTAATAAACTGTGTCTGAAAAGATTCTAGGCAAAAAAAGGCTTGAGATTTCCATGTTATAAACTCACACACCTGAGTGGAACACAAGTTACCATAGATATCATAAATTTTGAAATTATGTTTGAGGTTTGAATATTCTCCAGATAAAATGACAAATAACATTGGGAGGAAATAATTCCAGGAAAGTTAGGACACAAACCTTGAATATGTACATACTCTGACAGACTACAGGATCCTGACAGACTACAGGATCCTCCAGGCCAAGACTCTTTGCTACACCCTGAAATAATCAAATATTTAATATGTTTTATTTCTTGGTAATACAATATAATACACTGGTACAAAACAAAATAACATTTCCTCTAACAATAAACTACTATTTCCGTCCTACTTTTTTGTAAAACATTAAGTCATTCCATTCAATAAAATAATTTAAATACCAAATGCTCAAATAAATACAATATAAATATAAGATGCACGCCAAATTTCTAAATAAATTCTGTAACATATTGCAACCAATGCCCATAAAAAAATTTATAACAATTAATATACGTTATGCCCATTTAAATTTGATAATTCAAATAGCATGCCCAATGCCTATCTAAAGTAAATAGCAAAATATACTCTTAATGCCCACTGAAATAACATAACACAGACAAAAAATTTAAAAATGCCAAAATAAATTCAATAATGAACTGCATAACAAATATCCCTATAAACTCAATAACAAAATGGACACTTTATGCCATTATATACCTGATTCCCATAAAGACTGGATGAAACGGTGCATACTAAATGCCACATCAGTGTAAAAACAAATACCCACATAAAATTAGAATAACAAAATGCCTGTATGAATTCAGTATCATATAATTAACCTTATGCTTATGTTAGTTAATTCAATAACTTATAATAAATCTTTATCGTATGCCATATATATTCAAATATGTTCATTGCTAAATTTCAACAAAGTGCAAAACCATTGTACATATATATAATATGTAATTTTCAAAAAAGCAATAGAGAAACAAATTCAAAAATCATTATTTAATACAAAAATGTAAGTTTAACAATAAATTGCATGGCAATTAATAATATTCTGTATTGACTTTTCAAATAAAAGATAACTGATAATTATAAACCATAAAAATAACACTGATAACAAGTTTAGATTCTAAATATAATTATAATTTTTTTGTCATTTGAAAATCAAATGGTTATAAAAGAACCAAATATTACTATTACACCAACAGATTAGAAGTCTGTACTGTTATGGTCTATAATAGACAGAAGTAACCAAACAAGTTAAACAACTGACTAAAATCAGACAGCTTTCCGACAAAGCAGAACTCATTCTAGTTTTGGAGAGAAAAAAGCAAGCACAATGATCGATGACTTAATGAGTATTAATAATATTAGTAAATTAATTATCCAAGTAAAAATTCTGCCTCTCTAAATCATATGCTTTAAATGAGAGTGTGACAAAGATTCAGACCATAAGTACTCTGTGAATAATTTCCTAAATATAAGAACAAACCTCTCGAAGTTTTATGCAAAACATGGTAAGCATTTCTAGGGTAGAGTCATTTTCTTGTTATTTGATATTAACAATATAAATCATCTATCTATGAGTCATGATCAATTACCACACAAGATTTGCTTTTAAGTACATGATTAAATGCTTTAGTCTGTGTATGCCAAGACAATTATCATCATTATGATTTTAACCTTTGACCTCTCAACTAGTTCATGTACATAAGTATTTAAACCAAAATGCCTATCATTCACTTACAATGAAATTATAAATAAAACCATCCTTCAAATATCAATAGAAAAACTTTATTAAGATTCAAGATAGCAAATAGCAATGACCTTGACATTTAATAACTGTGACCTTGACATCTGACATATGTAACTGACATAGGACACAACACTCAACGGCCTTTCTTTTTAA